AGGAGGGAGAAGTGACGAAGGACGAGAAGGTTGGCGTGAGAGAGGGAGCGAAGATCTGTGACGTACTGAGACTGCTGACGGGAAAAAGCGAGTGAGACGTGTGGAGCAGCGAGCTGCGCGTTGCTGTGGAACAGGTGGTGCTGAGCGGGGTGGCGGAGGCGGAGTATACGAACGCTACAGAGGACGAAGTGGACAAGGAATTCCAAAGAGATGAAGGAATGCTGACGGGAACGAGCGAGGAAGCGTTACCGCTGCTCAGAACAGCACAGGTGGATGTGGGTGGGCTGGTGGAGGAGGAGCTTATGGTTGTGGAGGAGGTGGTGGTGGCATCAGAGGTGACTGGAAGAAGTAGGTTACTTGTTTGGGGGAGGAGGCACCAGGAGGACACGGGACAGGCGGAGGATGTGGAGGAGGAGGCTGGAGAAGCCAACACCAGACTTGAATGTGTAACAAGAGGTTTGAAGTGATTCGGAGAGTTAGAAATCTGAGCAGGTGGGCAGGTGGATGAGACGGTTGGAGGAGAAACAGACGAGGGGCAGGCGGAGGAGGAAAGACGAAGATTAGACTGATCGTAGGGCGAGAGCCACGCCGAAGGGCGACACGTGGAACTATCTGGAACGACCGGGTTAGCGACACGGCTGTCGAGAGTCTGGAAAACAGACGCGGGGGTGGCTGCTGGACAGGTGGAGGTGGGAAGAGGGGTGGAGAAGGAGGAGGAGGGAAACGCAGACGACTGATTGGTTAAATGCGGTGACGAGAAGCTACTGATGGTAACAGGTGTGTCGGGGGAGGTGTTGGTTTGAGTGATGGAGCCGGTGAACACTGGAGTATAAGAGGAGGAGGAGGAGTGGGGAAACATGGAGGTTGTGGAGGATGGAGGAATAGTGGGCTGACTGGACACAAGTGCTGACAGACTGGGACGGGTGGAGATGGATGGAGTGATGGAGGAGGGAAACATGGCGGTCGTGGAGGACAGAGGAACGCTCGACTGAGCGGACACAGGCGTTGATGGTGGAGGGAGAACACTGGTGGTAGCTGGGGGGTTACAGTTCATAGCTTTGCCAGTTTGAGGGGTGGTGTCAGTGGGCAATGGAAAGGTGGAGGTGTGAGCAGGAGGAGTAATGGAAGTGGAGGAGCTGGATAAG